TGGGATGGGTCTCACGTTCCAGGAAATTCGTCTGGGAGTGAGTGCGAACCACAAGTCGGTCGGAAGGTCCTGATGCATGAAAAACGCTCTTCCGGTCGACACGGCGGCGACGAACGTGGCGTAAATCCCCTTCATCCGATCTCCGAGTCCGCCGCAATACCGGATGCACTCCCACACCAAGGCCTTCGGAGGCCGTCTGCCCTCGAGGACGTCTCTGTGAAGCCTGGAGTAGAGGGACTGCCAGGACCCAGCGCCGAACGGGCCGCAGACATCACCCAGCGAAGTTTCTTCGGGAGGCGAATCGTCGCTCTCCGACCTGTTGCCTTTTGAGGTGCCGCCCTCAGAAACGTCGGCTTTCGAGACATTAACGACCAGTGCCCGAGGACACCCGCACGTCCTCCTGGTGCCATCGAGCCTCACGACGACGCTCCACCTGCTCGCAAACAGGAAAAGCAACCAAACCCCGCACGCGAGCGAGAGCGCCTGCAGCCCGGTCGGCCTCGAGAACTCCATCTAGGCTCGCAGAAATTCTTGGTGGTTCGTCTGTCGCGCTCGTCTTGATGCTCCTGGGACGCAGCATCCGTAGGGGCTAATAATATTTAGAAAAAAAAATAAAAAAGACATCATTTTTACGTAGAATCATGTCGTGAGTGCATGTAGTTGTCATGGCTACGTGTAGCAGTCGAGAATGACTGGCGCTAATTCTTAATATGTTCTCGAGATGGTAGAAACCTGAAACACGGTGCACAATTTTCTTTTCTGGCGCTGAGCCCAGAAAAAGACCGAATTTTGGTACTTTTTGCCTCATGCAAATTTCATGACAGTTTTCATCAGCCATCGGGAGAAGTCCTCATCGTCCGGCCTCATTATAAGTCATCCTTCCTGATGCAGCTTTCGTCCGCAGTGAAATGGGGCCACCACTCGCGTGGGGTCGCCATTTCACCTTCAACAAACTGGAAAAAAAAAAATTCGCAGAAAAAAGTCTGATGTCAGTGTAATGAAACTTTTTCTGCTGGAAACCGCATGTAAGAAGCTTCATTTGTTCATAATACATTTTTAAAAAATTATTCTTAACCCTTTAATGGTGTTTTTTTTATTTCTCGGCGAAAAAAAAAATCTGTTAGGTTTCACTTGCGCCCTAGAACACGGAAAGAGCGGACGAATATATTAAATATCGAATTTGTAAGTAATAGGTCCAACAACAAAAAAAGTTATTGTTGCTCATTTGCAAGAAACAAAATTATTAGCTCTCCAAACAGCGCCGCATAGACGCTAGAGAGTTTAGTCGGTCCCTCAACATTCGTACATTCCTCAACACGAAAGAAGATTTAAAAATACGGATGAACCTGGACACTGGATTAGCGTGAAGTTAAAGATGATTGCGCCAAAACCGCGAATATGTCACACGACGGAGTCAGGTGTTTTTTAATTTGCTTGTCAGCAGGAGTGTATGGCACCTAGCGAACGCATGGTTATTAGCTATAAGTACCGGACTGTTGCACATCTACTACGAACAGATTTACCTCTGGAGCTATCTATAGCTACCTACGCATTCTAAAAAATTTTTATTTTTAAAATTTATTTTTATTTTATTTATATATGATTTTATTTATTTTATATATGATTTTATTTATTTTATATATGATTTTATTTATTTTATATATGATTTTATTTATTTTATATATTATTTTATTTATTTTAT